GCGATGCGGACGCACGCGAACGCAGCCACAGGGGTTCTCGGTGAAGCTTCATGCGGGACCACGAAGCGTGGGAAGTGTGTGCCGACATGTGCGGCGCGGACGGATGCGAACGCAGCCATTGGGGTTTTTGGTGGAGCTCCTTGTGGGCCACGAACCTTACGTGCCTCCTCCTGGGAGGTTATTTTACCCATGTGGGCCTTTCTCATTTAGTATATAATGCCGTATAGCGTCGGATAGCGGCGTGGTTTGGGGCTGTGCTTCGCGCAAGATGCGCGGTTGGTCGTCGCGTCACGTCGCTATGCGGGTGGCTTGGCGTTACCCTTGTTGCACCCTTCCGCCGCGATATACCCTCCGCCCACTCTCGATGTCCTCTCTCGATGTCCTCTTCCTCTCTCGATGTCCTCTTCTTGCCTCCCAGCGTGGAACCGCGCCCCAGGTCAGTAGGAAAGCTCTCCCTTTGGACCTCCCTTTCGGGCCCCTCGTTGGCTCCCTGGACCCCTCGTGCTCGGGACCCCTGCCCCGCAAGGCGCCTCTCTTGGGGCTCCTTTGGGCCACCCCTTCGGGTTCCAGCTTGGAGCCCAACCTCCGGTGAGTCGGGGAGCCCTCCCTTTGGACCTCCCTTTCGGGCTCCTCGGCGGTTCCCTGGACTCCTTGCGCTCGGGACCCCTGCCCCGCAAGGCGCCCCCCTTGGGGTTCTTTGGGGCCACCCTTTCGGGTTCCAGCTTGGAGCCCAACCTCAAGCGATCAGCCAGATGCCGATCGTTTTTTTTATCTTCGCGCAACACCCTCGCTGAAACTTGTCGTTGATCTCAGCGCGGGCGTTCAAAGTTGAACGCTGCCAGCGGCCGGGAACCGGCCGCCATCGCACATCGGGTACTTCCGAAGTGCTTGATCGTTCAAGGTTGAACGGTCCACGCGGTGTCGGAAACCAACGCCCACCTCGACATCATACGAGACCGCTGTATCCAGTAGTTCTCTGTTCGTCACCCATGCTGCAAGATTTCGTCATCCATGAGTCCGTAGCCTGTTTTGGCTCGAACTGCATTGGGGCACGCGCGCGGTTCCTGACACCATGGAGTCTCTATGCAAAGATGTGATTTCTGTTTTGTGCAGCTTGGATGTCTTAGCGCACAGGTTGACAAGTGAAGGCGAAAACTTGAGGTCCCATCACATCGACGGGGGTGCCATCCTGCATCACATTGCCGAGCTGTCGCAGGTCATCGATCAACAGTTCGACGTACCGAGTTTGGAACCACACTCTCGTTCACCTGCCTCCTCGCAGTCCGCGTCGGACTTGCAAACCGAGTTCGCGCGTTTACGGAGCGCGCTGAAGTACCAGAGAAAGGAGCGCACGAAGCTTCAGCAGAAGCTCGATGCAGAAAAATCAACAAAGGTCGGGGGGCGCATGCGTGCGATATGGCTAGTGCGAGCTGGCTTGAGCCCGCCGGGCGTGCCTCAACGCACAATGGCCGACTTTCTCTCGCAGTTCCCTGAAGAGCTTGGCACGGGGGCGGGCTCTGGGGTGAGCCATTGTTACGTTGCACGTGCCCGTGATGCTTTCGCAGAATTGTTGAAAGAGTTGAACGGTAAGGAGCTCGAACGTTTGGCAGCAACGAATCTCGGCACAACGCCGTATTTCATTCAGCATATTCATGATGAAGCAAGCATGCGGCTGAGGAGCACACCGGTTGTCCAAGACGCGAGCTTCGCTTTGCCACAGTCGGCTGCCGTGGGCAGCGCTTTGTTCACGCGGTCCAGGTATTCGAAGATACAAAACAACTGCATCACAATAGGCATGGGCGAACACCGATTGGAATGGCTGTCTGAGATGCAGGCGTTGGGCCGCAAAGACGGGGACACTCTAGGTTTGGCTTTGATTGCTGCTGTTGAAGGCATTATGAATACCTTGGCCCGCTGCGCCCCAGGGCTCTGTCAGAGTTGTGCATCTCCTCATCGGAGACGGGGTCAATACCAACGAGGCCGCGGCCAAACGCCTTTTCGAACATTACGCCCGCCGCTCAGGCGGCGTTGTTCAATATCGGTTGATCTCGTGGCGTTGCGCCAGCCACCAAGGCCAATCTGGTGGTCGAGGTGGCTATTTGCGGGAAGCTATTGTCTCGACCACTCGAGGAAAGCGCCCTGGCGGCGAATTGTTCGCGATTTTTTAAATACCTTCTTGCGGAGCACTGTGATCAATTCGCGACTGCCTTGCGGCGCCACATCGCATCATTTCTGGATTTCGATCGGCATGATTCGACTGCCGCGGCACCGCCGCCGCCGAGCGAGGCCGTCTTGAACATGCAACGGCTTTATGGAGAGGATGTGTTCCCGCAGGCCCTGCTCGACATATTTCCGTCTGATTTGTCCGGGTGGGTGTGCCCGTGCCCAGACAACGAGGAGTTGTCCTCGGTTCGTGCCCGCGTGTATCAAACTCTTTACAGACACGTGCTGCAAGTGGAAGAACGTCCAGTAATAACGCGGTTTTGGCTATTCACCAATTGCGTGTTCTGCTTCCTGAGAATGACGGTGCTGCGCTTGCCCGCAGAGTTGTTCGACTTATCGTGCACTTCTGAGAGCAGTCAACGGTTGCAGGCGTTCCAAAAGTCGTTCAGCGATCCGTCCACGGACACGTGCCTGCGGAAAGTGGCGCTGTGCCTGCGGCTCACGCAGTTCGCCGTGAATCTTTCGTCTCGGAAGACAAAAGCTTCCGTCGCAGTTCCTGTGCTTGTCAGGATGGCCTTCGGGGAGGTGCAGCGGCGCACGTCTCTTCTCTTACAGGATATTGTTCGGTTGCTACACGCGGATCCTTTGCTCGACGTATCTGCGACATTCATGGGGCTCTTGAAGACGCAGTCGCACATCATCATGCGTTACGAACAGTACCAGCAATTTCCAAAACAAATTGTGCCTCATGTGTAAGTTCTACAATTCGGCGGGCTACGAGAACGCTGTCAAAGACTTCCTCGACGTCGGCGAGTCCCTGCTGGATTACGGGTATTCGGTGCCGCTGCGACGGGAAGCGCTGGCGTTCGGGAGTAGAGAGCGTGCCATTGAGTACCTCACCTCCGACCGCGTGCAGCGCGAGCTCCAGGATATTTTCAAGAATGCTTCGGCTCATGATCTGGACGCAGAGCGGAAACATAATGTGGGTAAGAAGGGTGAGGCGCGCAAGTTGACGTCTGTTGGCACAGCCTCGCGGAACGTGCTGCCTCGCCACTACGGACGTCGGCGGACGGAGGCTTTACGACAGATGCAGAAGGGCGCTGCGCGGGCCAAGCGGAAAAGGCACAGCAATGTTTGGGCTCTTGCAGTTGAGGACAACGCAGGCTGGCTCCGCAGGCCCCGGGGCCAACTGGCGCACGAGTCCGGCGTCGCCGCGGCGCAGAGGCGCGAAATCGTTCACGAGGGGGACCACGGTGCGTTGCATGAGTATATTGCCGCGAACCGCGCGGAGCTCGAAAGGAGGCGGGATGCCGACCACGCCGAGGCCGCCCTGGTCCTGCAGCCATCTATGCCGTATTCCACGGCTGACTGGATTAAGTTCGTGGAAGAAAAGAGGGCCTACGTCGATTCTCTGATCCAGACAGCTACCTCCAGCCGGCGCTCGATCTCTCGCCGCTTGTTGGCCACCGAGGCGCTACCTGGGTGTCCGCGGATCTACCCGAAGCCGCCCTCTGGTGATCTGCCGATGTGGCTGCGCAAGATCATGCGCGCAGATGCAGGCGTGTTTGCCGTGAAGTACGGGCCGCGGCTCGACGATAAACTTGTGTTGTATGGAGCCACGCTGCGGCATCAGCCCTGGGGGTGCATCTTGGAGGAGAGAGATGGGGCCAAAGCAACGTACCGGTTGAATATGGGCGTGATGTTATACGGGGCTTTGCGGCCCCTGAGAGAGCAAGTATCCGAAATGGCCTTGCCTGATGACTCGGAAGTGTTCCGCATGGATGCCGTTCGCGCCTCGATTGCCTGGCCCTTCGCCGTGCTCGCGCTCGGCGACCCGGTCGAACTCCCTGCGCCCGCGCCGCAGGTGCGCGCGCGGCGACCGAAAGGCGACTCGAAGGTCGAGAGCGCCGACGAGGACGACGGGGACGCGGACGAGCTGGCGCGCGATGCGGAGGCCGAGGGATGCGCAGCGCCCTCTGAGTGGGGATCTGTTGTCTCGGACTTGGAGTCTGACGTGGAGGCGGTCGCCGAGGAGGGGGATGCCGCCGCTGGGCCCGAGGCTGACCCCGTGCTGCCTGAGGCGCCGCACGTGTCTGACGATGAGGACGAGGAGGCTGCTGCGAGGATGCCTCCTGGTACCTACACGGTTCGCGAGTACTCAAACGGGTACTTCACGACTACGAACCACCCGAGATGGCCCGACGTCGTCATCAACATTCTTCCTCGGTGGCGGAAAGAACACGAACTCGGAGACGTGAACTACAGCTTCCGGTGCCGGCCGCATCACTTCGGCGAGTCCGCTGATGCCCCGAAGCGGGCCTACATGGTTCTACAGTCTTGGATGTTGTGGCGGGCCAAGACGGATGGTTGGCACCGGCGCAAGGCTCGTAGGTTGGCGTGGTGGCACGCGGAGGAGGGCCGGCTCAGGCGAGAGATCGCGGATCTCCAGGTGGCTGGAGGCGGAACCGGTGATGCAAAAGCTGATGCAAAGATTAGGCTATATGCTCCATCTGTCTTGTAATTTGCGAGACGCCTGCGCGAGCCGAAAAAGAGGGGCGGCCCTTTTCGGAGTCGGAGGTCCGCCACGGCACGCGTCCGCGGATGGAGAAAAATCAACGCCATGGTCAGGGATGGGGGAGGAGGGGTAGGACGTCGGATATGACGCGAGCGCACCTAGCTTGTCCTCCCCCCTCTCCTCCCCCCTCCGCCCCCTCCCCCTCCTCGTCGTCGTCGCCGTCGCCCTCTTCCTCCTCCCTCTCCCCGTCCCTCCCTCCATGCTTCCTCCTCCCCCCCCCTCCTCGCTCTACTGCTGCCCGTAGGCATCGTGGCTCGAAGTGACCCCGTCGAAGGGATCGCTGCTCCTGCCGGGGATGCCGGAGAGATGCCGCAGGCGGTTCCGCGGCACCCAGTACGAGGTCCGGGTGCCTGGCGGCCGTTTCCACACGTGGGCGAATAACCATCTGCATCGGGCTCGGACAGTGGCCGGCGTCAGAAGCGCAATCAACGACATCAGAAAGCGCCTTCGGGAGCGTAGATCCCGAGCTTCCGCCGCGCGCGCCTTGAAGGCGGCCGCGGCGAGGCACTGGCACGCGCCCCGGCGCAGTTCCGGCGGCCCCTTGCGGCCAAAGGCCGGTGCCCGCGTGATCGTGTCCGTCGCCCGGAGGAATTCTGGGCGCGGCCAGAGCGTCCACGACAAGAAGCTCTCCTTGGCCCTTTGCCGCGGGCCGATGCGGAAGGCGTGCCGCGCCGACGACGTGCTCCTGGTGGTCACGGCTGCGCCCTCCGATCGGATCAGGCCGCAGGCATACAGGGACGCCGTCGAAGGTCTCAATGGCGAGAGGGCCCTGGTCGTGGCCTGCCTGGCGGACAAGATGCACCCGGCGGCGACGTACTGCGCCAAGGTCGGCTTGGGCAGGCCAGACTGCTGGTACCGGAAGGCCACAAAGGGCGACAAGCACACGCACGTGGATGCAAAGGGGAACGCTTTCGCGGTCCGGTCGCGGTTTCGCGCCGCGGGGGCAAAGGACGACCACAGCTTTGGCTCCAACGACCTCCACAAGGTCGTGGTGTCCACTCACTACCTCATGTCGGCCACCACGCTGGAGGCGGCGCCTCGCGTGCCGCCTTCTCTGTCTGGTCTCTTCGACAAGTGGACGGGGCACGGGTGCAAAGTTCTCCCGTCAGGCCCGGCCGGGGCAGTGAAGCGCTGGCTGGGCGGTCTGTGACGAGTGCGCGCTGTAGGTATACAGGGGCGCAGACACTCCTGGATAGGCGCTGTTCGGCGCTATTCGGCTATATTATTCTCCTATTGTCCGCCGTTTCGCGGTTTTGTGGAAAAAGAGACGATAGCGCCGGTATAGCGCCGGAATAGCGCCGTCTAGCGCCGGAATAGCGCCGGTATAGCGCCGGAATAGCGCCAGAATGACGTCGTCGCCGTGTCACTCGGCACTGGATTGCGAGGCCTGCGGCGCTCTGCCGCTCTGGCGATTCATGATGCTGTGCCGCGTGCCGTGCCGTGCGGTGCTGTGCCGCGTGCCGCGTGCCGCGTCGGCCGGCGCCCGATTCCGTGCCCTGCGGTGCTCTGCCGCGCGGGTGTCGCGTCGTGCTGTGCCGTGCTTGGCGGTGCTCTGCCGCGCGTTGCGCCGCTCGGTGCTGTGCCGCGTGCCGCGCCTTCTGCGTCGTGCCCCGCGGTGCCGTGTCTGCGTGTCTTCCCGATTTCGGTTCCCGCGGGCCGCGTTCTGTTCCCGTCGCCCTTTGCCGGGCTTCCGAACCTTCCCGCCGGACCCCGGGGTCAAACCGAACGCAGGGCATCTTGCAATGCATCCGCCGTCGGGGGGGCGGATGGAGGGGGGCCGGCGGTGGTGGCGACGAGGGCTTCCGACCCTTCGTACCAGATACCGGGGCGCAAGACCGACCGCAGGAAATCTTGCAGCGCTTCCGCCCTCGGGGGGGGGGGGGATGGCGTGGAGATGGATGGGGGGGCGGCGGCGGCGGCGGCGGCGACGACGACGACGATCGTCTACAGATTTGTTGGCGTAAGGTTTTGCATGCATCGATTTTTGTAGTTTTCGGTCCGGGGGCCGTGGTCTGTTCCTGCGGGCCTCGTTCGGGCCTGGGGCCCGTGCCGGACCCCGTGGCGCAGAAGTGACCGCAGGAGATCTTGCAATGCATCCGCCCTCGGGCCGCGGAGAGGGCTGCCGGAGGAGGGCGAGGAGGAAAACGAGGGGGGGGTGGTGGACGAGGCGGAAGAAGAGGACGACGAGGGGGAGGAGGGGGAGAACGAAGAGGAGGAGGAGGAGGAGGAGGAGGAGGAGGAGGAGGAGGGGGAGGTGGATGAGGGAGGGGACGGGTGCAAGGATGAAGGGCGGCAGGGTGCTGAAGAGGAGGCGGATGGCGACGGGAAGGAGAGGAGGAGTACGGGGAGGAGGCCGTGGAGGACGACGGGACGGAGGAGGACGAGGACGGACGAGCAGGGGGAGGTGGATGACGACGACCAGGAGGAGGACGGACGACCAGGAGGAGGACGACCGGGATGGCCGAGACTCCACTGAGGTGCGATGTGATAGCAAGTTTCTCTCAACGCGTACGTTGTTGCATTTTGTTGCGTGCCTCCGCAAATCCTGTGGTATTGACGTCGCTTCTGCTTCAAAATCTTTCTTCAGTGAAGTGGCATTGCCCTCACATATGTTCACCCAGCTCTCGTAGCATGTTGCGCACATATATGTCGGATTCGCTGTGTTGTTCTGTCCTAACAGCTACGCTGCGCACCTGTCTAGGGTCTGTGTGCAGGATTGCCCCGCAGGGCGCGTCCCTCGGGGCTCTTTTGGACCATTGCGTCGGGTTCCTGCTTGGAGCCCAACCTCCGGTGACTAGGTGGGCCCTCCCATTGGACCTCCCTTTCGGGCTCCTCCGCGTTCCCTTGGACCCTTTGTGCTCGGGACCCCTGCCCCGCAAGGCGCCTCCCTTGGGTGTCCTTTGGGCCGCCCCTTCGGGTTCCAGCTTGGAGCCTACTCTCCGGTGAGTAGGAGGGCCCTCCCTTTGGACCTCCCTTTTGGGTTCCTTGTTGGCTCCCTCGACACCCGTGCTCGGGACCCCTGCCCCGCAAGGCGCCTCCCTTGGGGCTCTTTTGGGCCGCGCCTTCGGGTTCCAGCTTGGGGCCCAACCTGAAGCGATGAGCCAGATGCCGATCGGGCTGGAGGGGATCTTCGCGGAACACCCTCGCTGAAAATCGGCGTTGACCTCAGCGCGGGCGTTCAAGGTTGAACGCAGCCAGCGGCCTTGGAGCAGCCGCCGTCGAACGTCGCGTGCTTCCGAAGTGCGCGGTCGATCGAGGTTGAAGGGCCCACGTGGTGTCGGAAACCAGCCCCCACCACGACATGTTACGACGCAGCTGTGTCCTGTAATTATCAGTCTTTTGCCGCTTTGAACACGTCCGCCAACACATTTTGGCTCAAAGTATTCTGGCCCCGCTTGGTGCAGATCGCTCACCTGCCTTGGTTTGGTACCGCATCTGGAGGTCGTCGCCATGAGCCGGGGCGGAGGCTTGCAGAATCTTTCAGCTACGACCTTGAGAGACGAGATCGCGGCGCTCGTGCCGTCCGCGGCCCAGTGGGGGTCTGCTCGGAAGGCCCTTCGCTCTTGGCAAATGGAGACCGACGATAACAAGTGCAAGCTGCTGTTGGTGCTCCGCAATCACAAGGAGCGGGTGCACGCCGCGGACATCCGCAGGGCGCAGGCGAAGGTCGTCGAGGTTCAGGAAGATTATCTCCTCCGCAAGGTGTGGCTCGTGAAGAAATCCATGAACCCTGAGGTCGGAACGAAGGTTCCGCTGAAATGGCAGATCGACCCGCAGTCGGTCGAGAGGTTTCCTGCAGGAGTTGCCAGAGACGAGGTATGGGTCATCGATTCTGGATACCCCCGTCACGAGCTCGGACCTGGCGTGCTGGAGTTCCACATGAAGATCGGCCAGAGGGAGGAGTGGGAGCCCACCCCCGCGGCGGCCTTGGAGGACGGGCCCGCGCCAGACCCGCCTGTGGCCAGAGTGCCGCGCCCCTCGGCCGGCGCGGCCCCGGGCCCTTCCGGCGGCGCGGGCGTTGCCTCGACTGCGGCTGCCCCTGGCCCCGCGCCCAAAAAGAAAGTGTTTCGGGACCGCACGTCGGACCCGAAAGATAAGCTCTCGCTGGAGGAAATCGCTCAGTCCGCGAAGGCGGAGGCAGACAAGGGCCGGTTCACGTCGGACAACAAAGCGTCCAATGAGAACTTCTTGTTTTGGTGCGGCGAGTTCTTGGTGTGCCTGAGGGAGTCAAAGGTGGCGGACCCAATTCCGACGAGCATCCCAAAGCACTTGAAGTTTTTCATCGATTTCGTCGTGGAGGATTGCCTCCTGGACACGAACAGCTACCCGCACCTCCATGCTTTCGCGCCTTTCTTGAAGGACTGCGAGGCGGTGTACTCCGATGCGCTGTCGGCGTACGGGAAGGGCGTCCTCGCGGTCGCCACGGCGCCGCTCGGGGGCAACGCGGGGGTGCAGGTGCCGGGGCTGCTCGGGAGGAAGTCGCATCGCTTCCACACGTCGCCCTTCATGATGGGATTCCAGAAGGCGAATAACGAGAAAATGTACAGCGACCTGGAGAGTGCACACCAGATGACCGACGCTGAGAGAGTAGCCAAGATCTCTTCGCTGTTGACTTCTGCGGGCGCCGATGCGAAGTCCGCCAGTGCCTTGGATGAGAGCAAGAGCACGGCCCTGCAGGTGATGGCGACCTTGCTTGGGCAGGCGCCCGATGCCACGAAATTTACGTACCTCATCGACGATCTCTCGCGCTACGACGCGCTGCAGGCCTGGTCCCCGGCGCACGCGCTGTTCGACCTGAAGCAGTTCGCGTTGGTGCAGCCCCGCTGGAAGGACATGCAGGTGGGCAAGATTGTGGCCGGCATCAAGACGCTGTCGAAGAACGAGGATGTCCTCGCCAAGATCCCCTCGCCGGTGATGCGTGGCATCGCTGGTGACTATCGGAAGCTGGCGGCGTTTGCCTCCGAGCAAGAGGATCAGGGGGCATGGCAAGCGGTTGCGGAGGATCTCCTGCGCGAGATCCTGGAGTCGAAGCTCGGCCTGAAGCCCGAGTCCGGTGGGCGCGACCCGCAGTGGCCCGCTCTCTTTGGGGCGGCCCCGGCCGCTGCCCTGAAGGCCCTCTACAAGATCGTCGGGATTGCATCGAAAAAATTCCAGGAGAGGGGGGGCACCTGCTTGGGCGCGCTGCGGGCGTCGCACAGCAAGGTCGTGGAGGAGGCCTCTGCGCAGGCAAAGGCAGCCGGGGTCGGCGCGCAGACGGGTGCCGAGGGCAAGCCGGGCGCGGGGGGCGTCGCGGCCCCGCCGGCGCCGGAGCAGCTCCCGGGGGCGCCTGAGCCGAGCGCCGGCGCGGTCGGCGAGCCCGGCGATGCCGGCGCCGCCGCCGCGGGCCCGCCGGGCGCGGCGCAGGCGAGCGCCGCCGCCGCGGCCCCGCCGAGCGCCGGGGCGGCGGCGGGCCAGGAGGGCACGCAGCCCGCGTTTGAGGCAGATGAGATCGTGATGATCACCATGCGCAAGAAGGAGTGGGACGGCATGAAGTGCAAAGTGATTCGGTGCAATGCGAGCCAGGTGGTGTGCGAGGTCTTGGAGGGGACGGCGAAGGTGGAGAAGGGCACGAAGCGTTCTTTCTCGATCGTCAACGTCAAGAAAACGACGGCGGCTTCGGAGTCGGAGCTTGCAAAGCGTCTGAAAACGGGCGGGACGCCCGCGTCGGAGGACGAGAAGAACGCGCAGACGCAGGCCAACATGGAGAAGATCTTCGGGAAGAAGAAAGGTGACGACGAGGACTGACGCGCGAGCGCGCCTGGGCTCTGAATGCTGGATCCCGTGCGCCACGTGAGTCGTCATATTTTGTAACGTTTGACGCCGTGGCCCGCGAGCGTGCCAGCGGGCCGATTCCTCGCCCTCGGACGCGCGTCTGCGCCAGCCGGCCGATTCCCCGCCCTCGGACGCGCGTCCGTGCCGGCCAGCCGATTCTTCGCCCTCGGACGCCCACGGGCCGTGCGTCGCGCGTTGGACTTCCGCGAAAGGAAAATG